TGAATATGCAATATATCGGTCATGATAATTGATTACACTTACTACTTTAACATGTGGCTTTCGGCAACTTATCCTTCAAATATGAAGACACAAAAAAGAAAAAAAAAGAATCGCTTCAAAAATCGAACGATGCACTTCTAAAGAGTTATAAGGCGTTAATCATTTTAAACGGAAGTTGTCTCGAATATTTTTTGTTCATAGGCTCATGAAAAGTTTAGTTGCGATGTGGAGTTCATTTCAATTTAATTTAAAAGAAAATGATGCAAATTTTAAATTTTACAAATGTATAAGTTTATTTAGATTACAAGAACTTAAAGAAATACTAGCTGTTTTAAAACGAATTTTTTAAGTATTTATCAAATGCATCTTTAAATAAGAAGTTAACCTCTTAAAAAGAATATATTCTTTATCAAAATAGTGTCAATAATAAAATTTTATTCATTATCCGGTAGAAATTAATGCCGGCAGAAATTAAATGATATAAATTTTGTATTGATTTACATGGAAATACCATTCATAATGAGCAGTGCCTTTAGAAAAATGTTGAATGATCTACCGTGCATATTTTTTTCTCCCATTTCGCTTGATAAGTATTCCAATTAAAAAAATCAAAATGCAAACTTCGAATAATTCAAATGAGTGGTTTGAAGATATATTTCAAGAAAAGATATCAAATACTAAGAATATAAACATTTTAGCAATTTTGAAGAGATTGGTAAAGGTGGCATTGGAAAGGTCTACCGTGCAAATTGGAAAAGTTCAAAGCAATACATCGCGTTAAAATTATTACATGAATTTAATAATGACACTGTTAAAGAACTTGTTCGTGAGGTAATAACAAATAAATACGTATTATATTTCATTCTATTTATTATAAATTCATTTATTTATCAGGATAAAATTTATATTCTTAATAATTTAGCTTGAATTTCAAAGGGAGGTTGATTTTCATTGCAATATCATTCGTTTTTTGGGGATTACAGCATCAAATCAAGGTATAATATCTTAAATAATTAAGTATTGACTTTTAAATTTGAAATTTTATATATTTTTAAAAATTAAAAAAAAATTAGAAAACCAATTGTAAAAATATTGATTAGTAATGGAATATACTGATGGTGGCGCACTTAAAAAATATTTGAAGGACAATTTTGATAAGCTTTCTTGGGGAGGCAAATACGACTTGGCATTTCAGTTGGCTAGTGCTGTATCGTGTTTACATGACGAAGGAATTGTACATCGTGATCTGGTACCTTACATAATTTATACCTTATTTGTTATAATCTTACCGTAAAAACATTAATATTTAATTATATATTTACATATAATAGCATTCCGGCAATATATTAATTCATCAAGGTGCAGTTAAACTAGCAGACTTTGGTCTATCGAAAAGAATCGATGAAGCAACTAACTAGTCAAAAGTTTTTGGTATAATTCCTTATATGGATCCTAAAAGATTTGGTAGACGGAAAAAAAATGACAAGACATCACAAAAATATACATTTAATGAAAAAGTGACGTTTACAGTGTTGGCGTTATATTATGGGAAATTTCAAGTGGTTGTCCTCCTTTTTATGTTGAAGGTGAGACATATGACATTGATTTAGCAATAGAAATTTTACAAGGACACAGAGAAAGTGTCATTTCTGGTACGCCTGAAGATTACGCAAATATTTATATTGGTAAATATGTTATTGCTAAATTTAAATTTTAATTCAATATAATTTTTTCGATGATTAAAATAATTTATTTGATTGTAAAGTGCTGGGACAAAGAGCCAGACAATCGTCCAGTTATGAAAAAGGTAGTTGATGAATTAAATGCAATTATTACAAAAACAAATATAATAGAACATGATCAAATTAATAATGAAGAAAAAACCCCCAATTTTCTGAGCAACAACCTTATTCAAGTACTAATAATTCATTACATGGAGAATTTTCTCGGATGATGCAAAATTTTAATTAGATGAGTGCAGAAGAATTAGATTTAATTAATATTATTTACGATAATACGATTTATAGTTTAACGATTACGGAGCTTAATAAGGATGATATGTTAAACACCATAGGAGGATTACAAAGATTTCGAAAATTACAAGTACTCGTCTGTAATAATACTCAATTAACTAGCTTACCAACCTTACCAAACTCCTTAACGAAACTCAGTTGCGGTGGTACCAAAATAACTAGTTTACCAAACTTACCAAACTCCTTAACAGAACTCTATTGCCATGAAACACAAATAATTAGTTTACCAGCCTTACCAAACTCCTTAACAGAACTCAGTTGCAATGGTACCAAAATAACTAGTTTACCAACCTTACCAAACTCCTTAACTATACTCTATTGCTATAAAACTCAAATAACTAGCATAACAACCTTACCAGACTTCTTAGCAATACTCGATTGTAGTATTACTCAAATACCCAGCTTACCAACCTTACCAACCTCCTTAACAATACTCAATTGCGGTTATACCCGAATAACTAGCTTACCAACATTACCAAATTCCTTAACGAAACTCGTTTGCGATAATACCGAAATAACTAGACTACCAACCTTACCGAACTCCTTAAAGAAACTCAATTGCGATGATACACAAATAACTAGCTTACCAACTTTACCAAACTCCTTAACAATACTCAGTTGTAATAATACTCCAATAACAAGCCTAACTACCTTACCAAACTCCTTAATAGAACTCTATTGCTACAAAACTCAAATAACTATCTTACCAACCTTACCAAACTCCTTAACGAAACTCGGTTGCGATAATACCAAAATAACTAGACTACCAACCTTACCAAAATCCTTAACAGGACTCTATTGCCATGAAACACGAATAACTAGTTTACCAACCTTACCAAACTCCTTAACGGAACTCTATTGTTTAATACTCCAATAAATATCTTGTTTACCAACCTTACCAAACTTTAATACTCCAATATCTTGTTTACCAACCTTACCAAACTCCTTAACAGAACTTTATTGTTATAGAACGCTTACCTACCTTACCAAACTCCTTAATAAAACTTTGGTGTTTTGATACACAAATAAATAGCTTACCAAATTTACCCTATTTCTTAACGGATATCAAACTAAGTAAAATTAAGCTTTCTTAATATATAGAAGTTCGATGTTATTTTAATTTAAGGATTAGTGTTTTCATTCAAATTAAAGGATTTATTTTTATAAATCTTTCCTTCATTTATTTTATAAATTATTTTTCGGCAATATTTTACATGAGCTTGATGATTTAATTAATCACTCATTGCATTTTAAATCAAAAAATTGAATTATTATACACCCATTTTATCAAACACTTAGCTTTACTTTTTAATAAAAATTGTGGATTTAAATTTTATAATCTTCTTAATAATGTAATTATATTTGAACTTTTAATAACTCATCTGAAATTGAAACCTTAATTTTTCTTTATTAGCCCTTTATAAATTCGAAAACTTAATAGAACTAGATTTAAAAACTTGTGGTTATCAAGAATACAGTAAAGATGATTTAAATCATTTCACAAAAGCTTCATTTTGTATTAAATATAATTATATGGGTGTGGGACTAGATTGTAAACTTACTTTGTTTTTCCAAACATCACCTTTACGCTAATTTATATGTTGTTTAATATCTTTTTTTTTTTAAAAAAAAATTATATAATAATAATAATAATATGGTTAATATTTTTGTAAATATTTTTATTAAGCTTTATTTGTATAAATGAGGAAATTATTGAAGTTTACTTGTGAACTATTAATGGATTCAAATATGATATTTCATGTTCTTTAACGTCTTTGATCAGTTAATTAAATGACGAGATGAAGGCGTAGCAATTTACATATAATAAATGTTTCATCAAGATCAATTTTTATTCACACGTTTATAATAAAATGTAGATGTAAAAGATAAATTTTACAATATGATATCACATATTTAAAGTATCACATTATTTAAAATTTACAGTAAAAATGTCATTATACTAACTTTCTTAATTAATTAATAAAATATTTATTTAAATAATAAATAGAAATATTTGATTAAAATAATTAAAAAATTCTTTGAATTGAATAATAAATTTTTTGTTTGATTGAAATGATTTTTCAGTCTGAATTGAATGAAAAAAAAATATATATATAAAATAAAGAATTTTCATATATTTTGAAATTAAACTGAATTGAAAATATGCAGATTTATATGAATATCTTTAAAGCATCAAATAATTAAAAATTTTCAATTAAAATCTTTTTTGATGTACAAATCAATTTAATTTATATTAACTTTTTTAAGATAATAATATAATGGTTTTAAAATGAATAAATAAGTAAAATCACTAATATTTAATTAGTAATATATTGACATAATTATAACATTTAAAAATATTATTTTATATCTTCTAATAAATTTAATTTTCAATAAATTTTATAATAAATAATATAAATTAGTATATTTAAACTCTAATCAGATTAAATCAATCAAGTTATAGATCAAATTAAAATTTTTTTGACCTAATTTAAATTCCAATTTAAATCAATCCAATATAATCATCATATAATTTAGTCAACAAATTAAATTATATTAAACATAAGTAAATTATAAAAAATAAGATAATATAAATACTGTAAAAATTAATCAATTTTAATTTATAATTATTTTATTATAAACTATTTTTCTTTCTTTTTTTTACTTTCTTTTTCTTCCTTTTCCTCTAATATATTAATAATAAATAAAAATAAAAATTATTATTCATTTTAATTTGACATAAATTAAAATCAAATTACCTTTGGTCCAACCATTGCAACTTCCAAATGCTTTTTTTTATATTGTCAAAAAAAGATGTATAACATAACCATAACCAGGATTATGTGCATGATTTTCCATTAATTCTCAACATTAAGATGTACCATATCTTAATAAGCATGAAATGTGCAGAAGTGGGTGAATGTCCATTTTTAAAAAGATTTATTAATTCCTCTCGAACTTCTCCATTTACCCGCCTAAAACTTAGTGATTCAGCACAATTCTAATATGAATGCTTGCAGTACAATTGATATCGTGTACCCGTGATGATTGTGGAAGTTTCACATCAATTTTCTTGCCCTGTTTTTTCTTGACCATATGGTTATGAATGCAATGACGGTTTTCCCGAAATATAACTCGATTTCCTTTGATATCATAGCCTTTTGTTTGTGGCATTGTCATTTTTGAATGTGATTAAATTTGTAATCCATTCAGATGCTGCTGATTCATTATTTACATTTACAAATGTGATCAAAATTTGGAACTTCAAAATTTTCTTGTATTCGATATGGTGGCATACTATTGAAATTTTGGATCAGATATGTATAATTTGGGGAAGAGACTTTCTGCTGGTAGGGAATCCCATGAAAAGATCTATTAAAAATAAATACAATAAATGTTTCATTTTCAAATTAATGATGTCAATGTAGTATAAAATTCATATAATTATATAATGACTGTGAAATAAAACGGATAAAACCATATAAACTCTATATTAACATAAAAAAAAGAAATATCTATACATATCAACGTTAAATACGCACTAACATTAAAAATCAATAAAAAAACTCTCTATATTAACATTAAAAAAATTCTACATTAACAATAAAAAGCTCTATATTAACAATTCTATGTTAGATAAAAAACTTTATAACAACACCTATATAACGAGAAATTCTATATAATGATACTAGATTTTTATTTTAATTAAAAGGATATTCTTTTATGTAGAACATATCCTAAAAACTTTACCTGTGTAATTTTATCGCCGCTATGTTGTGAACGTCGTATAACTTTTTAAAACTTTGATTTAAAGTTTACAAAATAGAATATTTTCTTGATAATTTAAAAACGTAATTTAAAGGTTTCAAAGATTATTACTTTTCGTTCAAGAAAAAATGTCGCTTCTACAAAAAAAAAAAGGAACAAAAATATCTAACGCGTATAGACTAACACACGTCACGAATTGATTATCAAATTAACAAGAATAATTATAATTACGTCTATTTGGTTATGCTAATCTTTCCTCATTATATTGACTTGATATGGTTCGACATATCAATATACGCTGATTTTCAGGTTATCGATTATATATGCCGCTCGATAAACTTATTATAAAAAAAAAATACAAGTATCATTTTCATATAAAAGGGTAATTGTTTTTATAAGCTAATTTGAGCATTTATTCATTAAATTATTTAAGGTCGAACACTTTATTAAATAATTATCTTTTACAATGAGAATAAATTAAGATCCGACTATTATTAAAATTGAAAAACTTTATAAATATCGATTCCCAACGATCACTTCATTTTGACATATTAATTTTGCATTGTCTCTCCAACATTTGACTATAATTCGAAAGTCTCTTATATTTAACCCTATATAAATAAAATTCATTTCTAAATGATTCATTGGTATTAATGTAAATTAAACATCAAAAAAAAATAAAATTTTCAGAGAGAGGATAGAAAAAAACCCAGCATACGCTAACAAATTATGTAGCTTAATTTATAGTTCTGGCCTAAGTTGACCGGATAAAAGAATTTTAGGCCGGTTCCAGCCTTCAGGCTTAGATTTTGTCTCTTTTAACAATTGTCAGCGAATCGTGAATTACAAATTCTTGAATTCGATGTATTAATTACGTATTTAATAAAAAATTCAATGTTATAATATTACTTGTCTAATATTTATATGAATTTCTGTAAATTATGTGAACAATTCATAATATCTCAAAGTTCGTTCTCAACTAATAAAACTCGTAATCTTAGCAATTCAAGAATTTAATCAATTTAAATTTAACTAAAGTGTTACGATAATTTGACAACATATATAAGTATTTGTAATAATAATAAATAAATTATGAAAGTTATAATACAATTTTAATTACGAATCATTAGGAATGGCGATAATCTTGAGATAGCATTATCTTTATTTTGAACCAGATTTAATATGGTAATCAAATCATTATAATGTTATTTATTTAAATTATCATGATATTGAGGTTATGAGGTAAATCCTCAGGCTTCGGCGATATGCATGAAACTCTTTAGAGAAAAAAAATAATTCCAGTTCAGTAAAAAAATGTTGTACTTCAATTTCAGTCTCAGCATTTTCCCTTTCTGGTTGTGACTTCGTTGTATAAATTTTTGGGGTAAAATTTTTTTGAACATAGGCGGAAGGAAAAGAGAAATTAAAATTAAAAAAAAAAAAACAATAAATTATAAAAATAATGAAGACCCTTATCACAACAAAATTCGAAAGTATCTAAAATAAAAAAATAATGATTAGAAAAGTAATTAATCAAAAAAATCACAACGAAAAAAGAGACAAGAAAAATCTATAAAATGGAAAATTAAAATCATCCTAACGGCAGATTTCAACAAAAAAAAAAATCGTTCAATCGCCCAAACCTAAAAAAAAAAAAATTATTAATAAAACTTCTCATCAAAAGGTTGCTAAACTAAAAGTAGTATTCAACAAAAGAAACATTAAATTTTTTATCTTTTTTAATCTCGATCTAACCAAATCTAGTTAGGAGGAAACTTCCGAAACAATATTTTTAAAAATCTTATCATCAAGCCACGGAGTGTCTAAAAGTTATCTAAGCAATTGAAATAAAAAATTGAATTCATTAGTTCAATCTAAGAAAATAGTAAACCTTTTATATATAAGGTTAAGCAATATGGTCAGTCCATGCTAATATTAACTTGAAATTAGCGAATATAAACATCACCATGTAATTAAAAACGCAAAATAATAGAACAAAATAGTTATTCGTCTGTCAAGATTCGCAATACTAAATGTTTAGATCATATGATTATATGTCCCGTAACTTCATTTTAATATTTAACGTTAACGAAAGAATATTAGATTAACTGAAATTTAATGCATTTTATTTAATTTCATTTTGATATATCAATAAGATATTAGGTGCAATACTCAGGATGAACTATTGCATGCATACATATCGTTTTTGAAGATTAAGAATTTTTTCGTTCAATTAATCCAAATAGATGTCCTTTTTCACAAGTGGTGTCACTGACTTTGTCTGATCAAAGGAATGGTTTAATGTCACTTTCTGCCATGAAATTCTGAACTAAATGATCAAGCCCGTTTATTTGGATCACACAGCCCCGATAATTAACACTTAATGAAAGAATTATATCGTTATCTAAATAGAATTTTAAATAAATAATCTGCGTTTTTGTCTTTGTTTAGACAGAGGAATTAAGATATATATTTGATTGCAACTTTCTTAAACTTCGCTCTATCTTCTTTTTTGTATGATCGAGAAGTAATCCTTGTTCTATATTCAAACCTTTTACTGCTTTCAATCCTACGAAGCTTTTATATCCATTCTCAATGAAATAATTAGAATTGTGATCACGACAATTTATATTCTCTAAAGGCCTTTTACGGAGGCAGTAATAATTGGTTTTTCTTCGTATTTCCTAAACTCTTAATAAAATCTTGTTCCTAATTAAATATTTTTTGACATAATTTTATAAATTTATCGACATCCGTGTCCATTGTAAATAACGCTTCGTCGTTATAATATATTAGGGGGTACAGTTTTAATACAAAAATATAGCTGTCCAACATTTCAACAATGAATTTCCCCGTATTTAAAAAATTTTTATATATACTGTATATATTTACCATATTTTATAAAATTATTTTGTTTTTAACATCTAAGCTAGAAAAAATTGGCACCCAAGAAAAAACAGTTAAATGCGGCACTACATACTGGTGTATTCATCAAATTTAGGAAATGCATTAATTAACATTTTAAATACAATTTATTAATTTTTACGTCGTGTCGAATTATGGAGACACATGTTAAATTAAACCAATAATCAGAAATTGAAGATAAATTTCTTGCCGAAATGTCCGGGCGTATCATGAAAATGTCCTTTCTAAATATACTATTAAAATCACATTACGGATCATATGTTTACTATGTTCGTAACTCGATTTTAACAGAAAACCTCCCATATTCACAACATAACTCGTATTCTTCATTTTCCAGACAAAAAGACAAGATCATATCGTCAAGACTAAAAATAAAAAAATAATGTATATTTATGGTATGAAAATTTGAATAAATCAAGAAAAACTCCTTGAATTGGATCATAATTTCACGGGTTAAATTGGTTGTTTACTCGATGTAAGGATATTTTATTAATAAAAAAAAAAATTAAAAAAAAATATAAACTTTTCATAACAATCTGAAAAAGTAGTGAAATTTCTAAAGCCAACTCATAAAATGGTTAAATTAATTACTAATTGTTTCAAAAATATTAATTAAAAGATGATTTGGTTCAATATCATTTATATCGATACATAATACGCTGACGTTAAAAAATAAATATAATAAACTTCAATATTGAACGTTTATCATAATATAAAAATCAATAATAGTTTATATTTAAATTGCAATCATGAAATATCGAATATTCATCCAACATCTTTATTGTAATGAGCAGAAATTTCTAATTCATGTAATTGAGAATCTTGAAGTATTAAAATGCATTAATTAGTATATATATTTAATTATAGAAAATTAAAAATTTAGCAATTAATACCTTCATCCTTTTCAAGATATGAAGTAATAAATGATGAATTAATAGGCTTTGTCATATTTTTAAATGAAAAAGCTCTACTTTTATATACAGCATCAGGATTTGTTGTACGTAATATTAATATATTTGATATTTCTTTGTCAGCTTCTTCAAATGCTTCTTTTATTTCTTTTCCATAATGTTTGATATATTTATACTTCTCATAATTAAAAATAGACTCGTTCCAAAAATTCAATATTCTAAGTAATTCATCACACGTTGGTCTTTTATTTGTATTTGCATCCATACATCTATAAGCTAATTTTTTGTAAAGTTCAGGGGCTCCTTTTCCAAAATCTGGACGAAGTCCATTACAAATATCCAAGGCTAAATATATGTCATGTTTTCTATCATAAAATGGAGGATTTCCAGTTGATTATTCAGCCATGATTACTCCAAAACCGTAAATATCAGAAGCTAAAGTATAGCATTCTCCATTCAAGACTTCTGGAGCGATATATGGTAATACTCCATATATTTTATCATCCGATTTTTGCTTATCTGCTGGTCCAGATAATCCAAAATCCGAAATATAAGAATATTTCTCATCTTGCAAGATATTTCCACTATGAAAATCCTTATGGCAATATCGTAACTTATGTAAACTACATAAGTTAGAAATAACATAACTTAATTGTTCAATTTTATCTTTCCATAAAAAGTAGTTAATATTATTTGAAAGATGATTTCTCAAATTTCCATCAGATGCAAATGTTAAGATCATGATAAAGTCTTTGGTTTCTGGATCCTTAGATATTCCATAAATTGACAATAATCTAAGACCTTTTTTAACAATATTCCAATGTGATTTAAGCTAATTTTTGTAATAAAATTTAAGCAAATTAGAAATATTATTATTTAATAATTCCAAATATAAATGTAAATTACCTCATTAATAAAATTAGCTGACATATCCCGTGATCCATTTAACCTTTTCAAAGCAACCTTCATAGGTATGGCTAATTTTTTCCAACTTCCATCATCTTGCTTTATAAAATATAATTTACCATCAATCCATGTTGCAGAATACACTTTGGCGAATCCTCCTTCACTAATTTCTTTTATATCTGTGAATCTATCAAAAGGCACCCATTCAAGAAATTTTTGATATTGTTCTTGTCTTGCGTCATAAATTGTGTTTTTGATGAATTTATCAATTTCAGAATGTCCAGTAGTCCATCCTTCAATCATACACCAAGGATCACATTCTTTGCACCATAATTTCACGGCAAATGGTTTACCGCAATAAGAACATTTCGTAACTGGGACATTAAATTTATCGATTTGAGTTTCATTTTCATGGCTATTTACATCCATTTTTTGTTTTTTTTTTTGAAAAAAAATATATATTTTTGCTGATATAAAAGGAATTATCACGACCTAAATTAGATTAACGGAAAATATTCTCCATTGCAGTGGTACAAATAATATGTGATAACGTGATACTGCGGTAAATTTCAAAGTATTGTTACAATTGAAATATAATTCCGGCCGAAATATTCATAATTCCGCATGTAAATCGCTTTTGATAATTACAGTTAGTGTGTCGTGTCGGTATGACAAATGTTCAAGATGCCAGGTTGGCTTAATTATTTTTTTTTATATATACTGAGCTGGAAATCCTAAAACAGCTTGGTATCCAAGCTTGCTCTTGTGATATTTCTTTGATCTACATTCCTTCGAAATCTTTTTACACCGCGATAATTTTAACTTTATAATTTTCGCATTTGTAATTTCGTTTATTATTTTATTTTTTAATTCCCGATTTTTATTAGTATTTTATTATTCAATTTTATGTAATAGTTCGTAATTTGCGCAGTTTTAATTAAATATGTAGAATTTATTACTTGGTATTTACTTAGTTTAATATATTGACATAGAGAAAGTGTAGAGCGCCGACGTTGAGGTAACACTGATTAATTTGATATTAATACTTGTCACAATTACTTCATTTTTATTGAATAATTATTCATCAATACCTTCTGCTTACATTACAAAATTGTTTAAAAATAGATAAACGAAAGAACTGAATACAACACTATGCATTAAGAATTTTGAAAAAATTATCGAGCGCGAAACGTTCTTGAAGGTTGCAAATTTAAACTCTATAACATCAATAATATTGTAATAAGAGAGTTTCGGTTTACTACAGGAATAAATTTCTAGTAAGGTTTGTTTGCAAAAAGTTATTTTCAAAGTAAAAATGGCTACATAATCTATTGTAACATTACTAGCTTGCAATCATTGATAAGCATCAGACTTCTTCTGTTGTTTTCTACATAATTGTGAAACTTTACTTTGTTTCATAACTTAATGTTGCAAGTATCAAAATAAAATGATGTAGTATCTAATTTTGATTTATATCCCACCTACATAGTCCTTTACTCTATCAATTTGATTACTCCAGCCTACAGACTTCCAACCTACTCAAAGAAATATTGTTGAATAGAGCCATATCTAGGATTTTGATTTCAGAGCTACTTCAATATTTCGAAAAATTAGTAAGGGAAAAAAATTTGCAGAGCAAAAGGAACGAAAATAAAACAGTCCACGCCTTACTTTCATGCTTGCTTCTATATGAAGATTATTCATCATGCCCCGTAAGAGATTAAAACAAAAGAATTGTTCGCTTTTATTAGTTATATTCCAAGTCTGATAATTCTGGTATATTTGAAAAATCATGTGATAACCTTTTTTTTTGAGCTGACAATTCCCTTTTTTAACATTATTGGATTTCATTACCGTAAAGATCGCGACGAAATAGTTACTAAGACGACCGTTTGGATGACAAAAAGGGATTGATAATTCTATTAATATTATTTTTTTTTAGGTCTATTGGACATTCCTTTGGCCATTATTATTTTATTAATTCATAAAAAATTATTCTTCTTTACTTTTCGAGTATTCATAAAAAAAAAATATAATAAATATATAGATTAGTAAATTCGTTATTTATATTTTTTTTTTTTTTGTCTTAGTAATTACGAAGGTCATGAAATAAGACGATTTGAAATTAATATTGGTAAAGCCAAAGTTTATTTATGTTTATAATATTACAATTGATTAAATTTAAGCATGATCCCGCATAAAATCGTTTAAAACTCATAGTTTTATTCAGAATATACTTATTACTATATCATGAAATATCGATCTCGTGTCAGTAGAACCAAACTAACGCGAATTCAAACAGTGCGTTTATCGTCAAGAATTTGTAAATATATCATAGCATGATTTTGCAAAAAAAAAAACTATATAAAGTTACGGTCGTATATCGTCGGTCATATTTTAAAAGACGTACTAAAAAAATTCTTTGATAGAAATGTAAATTCGAACGGCCAAGCACATATGGAATTTTAGTTGGACATCTCATCCATGGATTAGGTGTACTGAAAATCCTGGTTCGTAACTATTCACTTGATGAACATATTTCTGACTAGAATGCTTATACAAGAAATCCGAATTATGCTGGGCAAATTTTGTATTTGGATTTAAATCCGTATATCGAATCTGCTATCCTGATCTTTGTTTTTTTTTGATTTTTCTTTTTATCAAAACAAACGGATACGTTTCAATAGCCACATCAATACAAAGAAAATAAACGATTCACTCTCTTCACAAACTTCCGCATTAACGGAAGAATACATTCTGTCAATCGTTGTTGAAGAACTAAATGTAAAGCAACTTGTTAAATATTTGAAATGCGAGTTTGTGATCTGAAGAATTCGAAGTATTATGTAAAGAGAAATACCGGTTTCAAACTTCCATATTTTTTCTGTAGAATTGCTTTAAAAGTTGCAATAACTCGCAAGCTTTGCTGATGATCTTAAATCTTAAATGTAGTCATTTTCTTCACATATACTGCTAAATATTTCAGGATTGTTGTTTTAAAAAAATTATAATTAACTTCAGTACTATCAGCAAAATTAAACAATTCACAATTTAAGGATTTCTTTTTTTTTTTTTACCTCTTTTAGATTTAATGACTAGACAATGCTTGCTGATTAGAGATTTCCTTTTTAGAACGATATGAAATTAGTGACAAGAGTTCGAGTCTCAAATTGCGGATGATAATGAAGCAAGACATAGTGAATACGAATCTTTTGCGAATTATTATATGCATGTGAGCCAGGATTTCAAATTCCATGCAATTTAACTGATTCATAACTGAGCTATCAACTTAAGATAAAATCGCCCAATTATCACAAATTTCATTGATGTAATATTTATATGATAAAGAATTGATCGTAGGATTGGTTTTTCGATGACAATATTGATGACGGTAATAATAGTTTTGAGATTTTTTAAATTTGAAAGCAACAGTAGGCCTTCGTCTTTGTCAATTCACTACGACTTCAATAATGTTAAAATATCAACTTTATTTAAACAAAATAATATCATTTAATATAATAAAAACAATAACTATTCATTATATACCGGTATATATATGGTCATAAATAAACTACTTGGTAAAAAGAGCAATTAAAAAATGACCTTTATAGTGTCCATTTGTTTCGATATTACATGTCAAATCCGTGATTAAAAATCTCCCAATTACATTGAGTTGCCAATCCTAAATCATTTATACAAGAAAAATTGGGATCAACTGATGATTGTACGGTAGATTCTCGGTTCGCAAACATGATTGAATAATCAATACTTCCTGTGTTAAAAGAGACCACCTTAAAACACCAGACACCATCTGAAGAACAAGAACTTTTTCCATTTGGTGATTTCATATTGAAGGTCAAGCAGCTGTTGTATCCGGTGTCTGCCCGAAAGCATACATCAGCATTGAGAGTTGTACCTTGAATAGCATCAACGCTGGTCACTGTTCCTGCAACTTCGACAAATGTAGCAATAGCAGCTGGCACACAGGTCATAACCATCAGGAAATAAATAAATTTGGTGAACATTTTGAATTTTGAATGTTTGACAAGAAAACTTGGATTTTACAAAAGTAAATTGGTGTAGCAATTTCTTGGAGAGTAGCGATTTCTCCATACTAGTTATATAATTATCCGATGTGGCTCTGTCCCATAAAAGTTTCGGTAAATAGATAATAAAGACGCGCAATTTAATTGCGCAATGTTGTGCAAATCCGATTTTGCGCAGTTTAATTCCGTGTATTAATAATCATAAATCCTATTGAATTTCGCGAATTTCATGGAGGATCTGAAATTAATAGAATAATTTCAGATCCGAGATTGTGGCATCCAATATTGCGCAGTTTAATTACATCTGGCTGAATCAATCTTGGATCTGCCACAATCTCGGCTGAATTTCAATCGCGGAATCTCGGATTTTTGTTTTTTTTTTTTGTAATCCTAAAACATCACCGAACGTACAAACTCAAATCGTGCATAAATATTATCTTTAAGAACAAACACAACACTTTCAAAAATTATGCGATTTTGAAAATATTATATCAAATTATAGTCACATCAATATAAGATACTTGTTATATGTAAATCGTACTTTTTTTTTTTAGATTACAAATATTGAAGATACATTTTGAAGATTTTACAGCTGTTTGCATAAATAACGGACCACCCAATTCATTTTTCTCCGAAGTGTCATACGCATTCATACGCAGTCATACGCATAGATTATTACTGATCGACAATAATTCGGGCCAACTTATAATTTCAGCCCGAATTATAATTATTAATCGGCCAATTTATTATTTTATTATTCCGTTCCAAATAGGAAATTAACAAATCTTTCGTTTTCATTACAGTATGACAAAATTATCTTCACATGTTTGCTGGCAAATAATTGAAAAGTCATTAGCGGGTTTGTCAGAACGTCAAATTGCTAAACATTTAGGAGTCCGCAAATCAACCGTGCACCGTACTTATCACCGTTTTAAAAAGTATGGATGCGTCGAAAACTTTTCATTGTTACTTGGAAGACCAAGAATTTTTGGGTGCAATGATATGAAATATCTTGAAACACTACTTAAAGAAAAAGTAGATTGGTATATTTGGGAAATCCAATCAGAAATGGAACTTTGGTTAGGACAAAATATTGACCTTAGTGTAATATGGAGAGCAGTACATCGCCTAGGATATACTCACAAACAAGTATTAAATATTTTAATATTTATAATTATATTTTATTATTTATACTTTTTTTTTTATAATATATTTATTTTATATTGTATTGCATAGATTTCTAAACCTGCACAAGAAAGAAATAAGAATGACCGTGCAGATTTTATTTGCGTATATCTCAGTATTTACCAAATCAATTGGTATTTTCTGATGAATCAGCTTATAATAGACGAACCAGATATGGATGGAATATTAGTGGATGCCATGCAAGAAAAGCTGCATTTTTTGTTAGAGGTCAGAGATATACAATTGAAGGTGCATTGCGTATGAATAGTTTGTTAGCATATGGAATTCAAGAAGGATCAATGAACTCTGAAGATTATGCAAATTTAATTGAAAATATTTTGGTATATATTTTTTTTTTTTTTTTTTTTTTTTTTTTTTTTTTTTAACATTTGTATATTAAAATAAACATGATATTTAACATATTTATATGTTTTATAGCTTCCAAAAATGTCACCATATCCTGCACAATATAGCGTTTTAGTTTTAGATAATGCATCTATATATAGAGCTAACATTTGCGAGATATTTGTGAAGAAAAGGAATAAGACTTAAATTTTTACCACCCTACTCTCCTGATTACAATCCAGTAAGAATTTAATTTTTTACTTTTATACATTTAATATATTACATTATATAATTTTAATTTTATTATTTCAGATAGAGCAGGCATTTTTTTACATCAAAAATTATTAACGTCAACATCATGACTGGGTGAAATCTATAGAAAATCCAGTTGATACATTAAATTTTAGTTGTATAAAAATTGGTAAAAATTTTATAAAATAATTATAAACAATTTTTTTTGTAACTTTTTTTTTTTATTTCTTTTGTGATTTTTTTTAATACTTTAAATATAATTTTCGATTTATTATATTTTTTATAAATCTTAATTTTATTAAAAAATTTAATTGA